GGTTGTACAACTTTATAGGTAAATTCAGATTGACATGATCTGGATTTACATAATTCGAATTGACATATAATCCACTATCCTGCTTTAGCGTTCCCCTGTTAATAGTAATATATATGGAAATCACTTTGCTAGTTTTTTTTTTAACAACATATGCAACTATAATATTCTATCGATACTCTAATAGAAACCTGCTCGACTGATGAAGCCCACTCTTATACCAAAGGTCGAAGAAATGTGTGAGGAATTCGTATCAAATTTCATTCGTCATAGTTACCAGAATATGCCACCCGAAAAACTTATCCATAATGAAACTTGGAAAGAATCCGAGGAGAAAATATCAGACATCGCAAAAAAACTTTTTTCCCTTCTCGAAGATATTTGGAATAATCCAATCTTTAGTTCTGAACTTGCAAAATCGTTGAATGAAGACACCTATCAATCGACAGTCATTTTATTATCAATTCAAGTGGTATTAAAAAATCTTCCTTTTAGATTGTCTTCATTTATCAGTACGTCAGAACAGCAAAGTATTACTAGCGCCGATAGAAAGGGTAAAGGACAGATGGAGAGGCAACCTGATATTATGTTTGTATTAAAATATTTAGAGGTCTTCTTTGAGCTTTTATACGTAGAATGTTCACGATTATATTGCACTTAGCAGAAAAAGAAGGATGATAAGGTAAAGTTATGATGCGAGACAAATGATGGTATGTATTATGTTCACAAAGTTCTTAAACCAGACAAAGATCAATTTGGAGTAGTTGGAGTGCAAGTAGTGGGAAATATGTTACATCTGAACGTTCTTGTCAGGGATAGAGCTAATGTACATCGATATTACCATCTACAATCTGCTGAAATTCCTGTATAATTATCTGATGCAAATGTCGTAGCTAAATTTATAGAAACCCTTTTACGTTTACGTAATATATTAATTATAAATATATCCCTGATATATCACACATCTATCTCCACATCGCAAAGGCAAATGGAAGATAGTACTACAGTTTCCACTCTACGAGACGAAAACTAGACTTCGTTATATGTATTTTTTATATCTTGTATTTATCCCAATAAAGATGGCTGGATTATTATATACTTTGTGCGATATATGTGATTAGGCATTCGCCAGCCTCCGGTTAAATTTTTCAGATAATTGTTACGCACTATTTATCGGGCACATGATCAAGTGTCAAGTCCGTCACATGTTGGAAAATTAAATCATATGCTTGTAATACACCTGAAATAGATTCTACCCCTGAAATAGATCATGTAACAATTATCTCAGATATAGAACGACGCATTATTGCATAGCAGGCCGTTAGGCGATTCTTCGAATCATGGGACTTCATCCCTATCAATCTTAATCAATAAACTATCTTTCCCATCGCTGGCTATGTATGTTTCACGAGACACGGGGTGTCATTTCTCCGAAATACTTCTACGCTGATCTCCGATTCGCGGATTTAGGCTCGAAGAGCCATTTCTTTGAAATAAAACACATGACATCGCTTAATTGAATTTTTAGCCGAAAAAACATATTTACTCAATTATTACATAACATGTCGAACTCTAGTATACCTATAAATTTCTGAATTGGATATTTATTATTATTAAAAAAAAAAAAGATTATTATAGGAAATGTTGTCTTTGTATTGGTTCTCATTGAGTGGGCTAGACTCGATGATTCCGATTGCATTCAAGACAAACAAGACGTACATTACCTTTGATATGTCCTATTTGGTTATCAATTCGATCAACTGTCCATTGATCCTGATTATATGCATCATGCCAACCCCATTCCATCTCAATAAGACATAGTGCGCATTTATCTTTCTGCAAATCTTTTAATGTAAGAATATAGTCAACAGATAAATCGAATTCGCGACCCTTTTTCTTATCTTGATCCATATATCCTACGAGTTTTCCAGAAATCAATGGCCTCAATGAACGTTCGATTGCTTTCTTATTTTTTGCTTCCTCAATCTCAGGAGGTAATGGAGGGCCTTCAATCCGAATAAGCTGGCTCAAATATTCTACACGACCAACTGCGAGATATATTAGATTATCCCACGCCAAATGTTCATCGATAACCCAAACTCGTTGTGGAGCTTCAAGCGTCATCCCTTGACTAGTATGCACAGTCATTGCATATCCCAAATCCCAATCAAGTATTTTTTCTTCGGTTAATAACGGAGTTAGTGCTAAAGCACATATATCTTTTATAAACTTTTCAGGAAGCGTATTCAACGGTAAATGTACTATATCATTTTTTACTAGTTCTTGTTTCTCAGATGAACCGGGAATTGGGACGAGGCAGTTTTGTTTACGTCCATCTCTTGGCCTATATATTAATGGAACTGGTAGATCTGGATATTTAATACGATGGAGTTCAAAGCATTTTTGCGATGCAATTCTTCGAGATAGGCGATGTGCCGATAATATCCGATCTGAGGGAGTCCATTCTCTTTCGAGACGTTCCCATTTTTCTATAGTTGGGAGAATTCCTCGAAATAATTTTGATTGTATTCGATTATTTTTGCGA